GTGGGTAGGGTCGTCAGTATCGTACCTTTTTGGTCTGGGGTGGGGTGGTCAGTCACAGTACTTTTGGTATGCGGGGTGGGGTGGTATCGTCAGTACCTTTTTTGGCATGCTGGGTAGGGTGGTCATTATCAGTACCTTGTTGGTCATGCGGGTTTGGGGGGGTCATCGTCAGTACCTTTTGGTCTGCTGGGTGGGGTTTTGGCAGTCGTGTACCTTGTTGGTCATGCTGGTGGGGTTTCAGTCATCAGTACCTTGTTGGTTTTTGTGGGTGGGGTGTCAGTCAGTCAGTACCTTGTTGGTATGTGGGTGGGGTTTGGTCCGTCAGGATTGGTTTCGGGGGGGGGTTGGCAGTCTCATACCGGGCAGCGGGAGGTCATCATTTCAGTACCTTTTTTGGTCTGCGGGGGTAGTGTAGTCAGTCAGTACCTTGGGGTCAGGGGGGGTGGGTGTGTCATTTAGACCTTTTTGGTCAGGGGTAGGGGTCATAGTAGTATAATTGTTGGTCAGGGGGTGGGGTCGGCCATAAGCCCTTTGGGTTCGGGGGGTCCTATATTTGGTTTTGCTGGGTAGGTTCGCAGCATCCCTTTTGTTGGTATGCGGGTAGGTGGGGGGGGAGTCAGTCGTACCTTGTGGTATTGGGGGGTGGTCGGTCAGTCAGTCGTCCCCTTTTTTGGTCGCGGGGGGTCGGCCCGTCATCATCCTGTTGGTCATGGGGGGGTGGGGTTCGGTATCGTTACCTTTGGTCATTATTTCGTTAAGGGTCATCTGGGGTGGGGGGTCGGGGGTTGGGTTTACTAAGACTCCAGGGGGTTTTAGAAACCGTTATCATTTCGGGGATGGCACGCCAGGAAAAGGTCGAAGATGCCCGACAAAAACACCGACCACGCCGTCATACACAGACTACACCACGAAACAAAAAGGCCGTCCAAACGGCAAACACCACTAGTCTGCACAAAGGGCTCATGAAAGTATAAAAAGGGGGAATTTATTCTTCACATAGGGTAACATTCTTTAGCTCTGGGACCTTTGGGTTTTATCCTCTCTGTGGTGTGTTGGGGTATGTGTTTTGGTGGCAGGGTCTGTGTGTTTTTCCTCACCCAAAGCGCTGCGTGTCTGGGGGGAATTTGGGGAGATGGAGTTTTCAGACCCCTGTCAAAACCACGCTTCCTAGGGGGGGGTTTCTCTTTTTCGAGATGAGGGGGTCCACACACACACCCCCACACACCCCACACACACAAAACCCCACACAACGCACACCCCCACACAATACATTCTAAAAATTTGGGGGGGTCCCTCTCTTCGGGGCATTGCATGTTTAAAAAGGTGTGCAAAAAAGGGTTTAGGGTCAATTCGTTTTGTTGTCAAACACATATTTTTAAATACCTAAAAAGGATAACTATATAGGGTATTTCACGTATTTAAATTAATTTTAAATCATTTCCCTAAATTTGACTGACTAAATTTTGGGAAATGTGGGGTTTACTGAAAGGCCAAATAAATACATTAGGGGTTCTAAAGGCACTAAAACTGAATACATCACTGGGACGTCAAAAGGTCACTAAACGAATCTATGGGACTCTAAAGGTCACTAAAGGGAATACTCACTGGGACATCTAAAGGGCACTGAACGAATAACACTGGGACTCTAAATTCACTGAGTGAACTCACTGGGACGTCAAAAGGTCACCAAATGAATAATCATGGGCTCTAAAGCTCACCGAAGAATACATCATGGACTTAAAGTTGAAATGAAAATTTCCGGGACTTTCTAAAGGCCCCCCCAAAACTAAATCATCACGGGCTTTTTAAAGGTCCTGAACAAATACATAAGGGACGTTAAAGTCCTGAATAAAAACATCCTGGGACATCAAAAGGGCCCGAACTAAATCACACTGGGCATCAAAAGGGTCATGAAGAATCCCCGGGGGACATCAATTAAAGGTCACTGAACGAATCATCACGGGGACTCAAGGCACCACTGAACATCCGGGACGTCTAAAGGTCCTAACTGAATACTCACGGGACGTTAAAGGTCCCACTGAAATACATCATGGGACTTCAAAAGGTCACTGATAAAAATTCCTGGGCGTCTGGGGTCCTGAACTGTACTCACGGGGCTTAAAGGTCACGAATGATACATCCGGGACTTGGTCACTGAACTAAAATCTCACGGGTTTTAATCAAAAGGTCCGAACTAAATACTCATGGGACGTCTAAAGGTCACCGAATGTCTCCGGGGCTCTGGTCACTGAAATGATCTCCTGGGCTTCAGGTCATGAATGAATCTCCTGGACGTTGGTCACGCTAAACCCCAACTGGGACATCTAAGGTCCTGAACTAAAACCCCTCCGGGACCCTAAAGGTCCTGCGTACCCTGGGAGTTAAAGGCACCGAATGATACATCCCCTGGGACATCTAAAGGTCACTGACTGAATACACCCCTGGGACTCTAATCAAAAGGGACTGAACTAAATACATCATGGGACATTAAAAGCTCCCCCAAAACTAAATACTCACTGGGACACTAAAGTCACTAAGAATAATCACTGGGACGAAAAAGGTCCCCAAAACTAAATCATTGGGACATCTAAAAGGTCCTGAATGAATAATCCTGGGACACTAAAGGTCACTGAACTAAATACACCCGGGGGAGTTTTTTATTTTATTAACCCTTTATTTAATAGTCGTCAATTAAAAACCAAATTCTTATTTACAATGAGGCCCTACCCCGGGCCCAAACCCGGAGACGCTGGCCAAATTGTGTGCGCCCTTGGACCCCAATCAGGGCCCGGTTGTGAAAAGTGGAATCGAACCGGGGTCCAAAACTGAATCCTCACTTTAAACACTCACCCCTTTTTTGTTTCAACAAACCAATGAGACACGAAGCTTGGGTTGGGTTGTTGTCTTTGCTAATGTTAAATTTCCCTTTTCTCCCCCCGCTCTTCTCTTCACTCTTCTCTCATCCTCCCTTCTCTTTCTCCTCTGTCCCAGAGCTAGGCTAATCAAGGTGGACGATGATTCCCCACTGACTGTTCACCAACCCATTCATTAATAATGTGGAGTGCTGTCACACACACACACACACTGGGTGATAATGGCAGGCCATTACATTGGATTACTGTGGTAGTAAAAAGTGAATGAGACAGCACAGAAGAGAGTGGCTCTAACGACAGTCAGGGGGCTTGTTACTCACGCACCTGTAAAACGAACAGATCACCCTGTGACAAGACAATAGCTGGCTGAGTCAATCTGGGACTGACACACTTTGGCTGGGAGAAAGCATGATGGATGGGACAGACAGGGGAAATCACTACTACGTCTGGCCCAGGAGGATTTCAATGATGCCAATCATCTTCTATATGATTTTCATATAGTGTCTCAGTCTGATGAGGAATGTGTTAGTAGATCAGGTAGGATGTCCTATGCTGCTATCCTATGCTCTCTGTATAGTCAGCTCTGTATAGAGGAAACAAGGCCTTCCCTTGTCCAGTCTGCTCTTCCTGTCACGCTGAGCTTTGACATTAGGGCGTGTCCCAAATGGCACCCTATTCCCTATATAGAGCTGGTCAAAAGTAGTGCAGAGCGTAGGGAATATGGTGCCAGAAACTGTCAGATACCGGCTTGTGGTTTTGATTGAATAAAGTTATGTTTTTCTCTCTTTGTCCTATCCGGTCATGACGAGTTCAAAATCCCCAAAATCTAAAAGATACCGGTTTGCAAGTTTGATTGAACAGGGTGGGTACAACGTTGTGTCCTACCCTAGACCGGTATAGAATAGCGCCCCCCTGTGAGTCCTACCCTGCCATGACGAGGACAGACTTGACGGCCCTCATGCCAAAGTCGTAGTGGTCCTGTTGGGAGAGCTGCTCAGAACACAGCTTGTACATCTGGGTCATCTTACGGGCCAGCGTCTTACTGGACTCAAAACCCTCAGAGTACAGGATCACCTAGAGAGGAGAGAGGAAAGAAAGGAGAGGGGAGAGAGAGGGGGTGAGGGAGAGAGAGAGAAGAGCTCTAAAACCAGCTCCGGAAAAAAACCCTGACCCCAAAAGGGGAAAGCCAAAGGGGGGAAAAAAATAAACCCCCCCGTTCCTAAAGGGGATGAATGGGGAACCCCAAGGTAGGGTTAACAGGGCGGGGCCCGGACTCAGTTTGGAGCCTGGTTCATTAGACCCCCCTTTCATCACCAGTTGATCCCGCCCTCAAACATAACCAACAGTACCACGAGACCATGGGACCGGAGGACTAAACAAGGTTGTGAGCATCTCACGTTGACTTTTCTTAGGTAGAGTACACATCACTTTGACAACAGGAACAGACTATTCCGTTAGTTCAACTACCGCTGTTTACACTGAGGTCTGAAGAAACAGATCTATATCCAGGCTTTAGTTCAGAGGGCTAACAACTTCTTCAGCCGGGCGGACCTCAATCTTGCCTGACAGGTATGATGGATGGAGGTTAGAACTAGGAAGGCTGTGTGTGACCAGGTGGAGCTATACCGTGGCCATCTTGGCATTGTGGATGGTGATGAGTTGTAGGTACCAGTATATACTGTACTTGTGGTATATTTAAGCAACAGGGCCTGAGGGGGTGTGGTATATGGCCAATATACCACGGCTAAGGGCTGTTCTTAAGCACGACGCAATGCAGAGTGCCTGGACACAGCCCTTAGCAGTGGTATATTGGCCATACATCACAAACCCTGAGGTGCCTTATTGCTATTATAAACTGGTTACCAACGTAATTAGAGCAGTTAAAATACATGTTTTGTCATACCTGCGGTATACGGTCTGATATACCACGGCTGTCAGCCAATCAGCATTCAGGGCTTGAACCACCCAGTTTATAATGTCTCATATACCATGGCTTTCAGCCAATCAGCATTCAGGGCTCGAACCACTCAGTTAATAAATGTAAATATATTATAAAAGGGGAGGTTATACCTTGGCCAGCTTGGCATTGCGGATAGTGATGAGTTGCTGGGCGATGACAGACAGCACCTCAATGTCGATGCGGTTAAACTCATCAAAACAGCACCAGGCCCCTGATTGGGCCAGACCACTGAAGAACTTCCCCATCATCTGAAACACAGACAGGTGATTGGTTAAGCAGGATTATAGCAGGATCCTTCATTATGAAGAAGCTCCATGTAGACTGACTGCTGTGATGACACTGTCCCCTAGTGTTAGTGTCTGGGTAAAACAACGACAATAGGAGACAGAGAGAGATAAAGGTAGAGAGAGAGAGAGAGAGAGAGAGAGAGAGAGAGAATGGAATAGGACAGGGTTTCCCAAACTTGGTCTTGGGGCTCCCCCTGGGTGCACGTTTTGGTTTTTGCCCTATTTATTTATTTTAACCTTTATTTAACTAGACAAGTCAGTTAAGAACAAATTCTTATTTACAATGACGGCCTACACCGGCCAAACCCGGACGACGCTGGACCGATTGTGCGCCGCCCTATGGGACTCCCAATCACGGCCGGTTGTGATACAGCCTGTAATCGAACCAGGGGGTCTGTAGTGACGCCTCAAGCACTGAGATGCAGTGCCTTAGACCGCTGCGCCACTCGGGAGCCCGAGCGCTACACAGCTGATTCAAATAACCAGCTCATCATCAAGCTTTGATTATTTGAATCAGCTGTGGGCAAAAACCAAAAGGTGCACCCAGGGGGAGCCCCAGGACCGAGTTTGGGAAACCTTGGAATAGAAGGTGGTGTGCTCGTAAGTCTTATCAGTACCTTGTAGTCCAGTCCATCAGAACAGTTGAAGACAACACACTGGATGGACAGAGCCTTGGCCAGGTCCTTAGTGGTCTCTGTCTTCCCTGTACCAGCTGGTCCTGCTGGAGCCCCACCCAGGTCTAACTGAAGAGCCCCCATCAGACACAGGTAGCAACGATC